AGGGTTCTGTTGAATCACAGCTCCATTCAAAAGAAAACAGCAATTTCTAGGTCTGAAATTACCACTCTATCTTCTTCCTTAAATGAAATTCTATGAACTGGAGTACAGCATCCATCTTGTTTGCAGGTTACCCATTGTGCTCTGAACAGTGCCTGACATAACAGAAGCTCATCAATAGTTGTTGAATGAAACAATGATCATTCAGTGTGTCTTTCCGGTCAGTTCCTAAAATATGACACTTCCACTAAGTCTCAAAAATGGAATCAGTCTGTCAAATCCACAGCAATTATTAAAATAATCTGCGTGTATGTTCAATGTCTTAATCGAATGGTTCTCTAATGTTAGTATGCAGTAGAATCATTTGGAGAATTCAAAATAAACATTCCCGGGCCCAGCCTCCCTGGTGGACTGTTGTGGGTAAAGAAATACAAATTTTCAACACTTCAAGTGAAGCTAATGCAGCTGACCATACTCTGAAAAATCACCATGCTAACGAAAAGGAGCAATAAGGTGGAGCATTTTGGGGCAGAAAGGCCTTTTAGACTTCCTAACATGTAGGAAGAAAGATACAGATTTATTCTATCAATTCAGAAAAAAAATTAAGAAATACAGGTCAAGGGGGCTGGCCCAGTGGCGTAGTGGTTAAGTTTGCGCACACCACTTCGGCAGCCTTGAGTTCACCAGTTCGGATCCTGGGTGTGGACCACTTATCAAGCCATGCTGTGGCAGGTGTCCCACATATAAAGTGGAGGAAGATGGGCACAGATTTTAGCTCAGGTCTTCCTCAGCAAAAACAGGAGGATTGGCAATAGATGTTAGCTCAGGGCCACTCTTCCTCAAAAAACAAACAAACAAAAAATACAGGTCAAAGTCATGAGAAAGTAGGCATAGTTCAATATCACGGTGAAGAGTCTCGCAACAATGGCATGGGCTTCCTGCTGTAATGACCTTCTCATCACTATGGTAGTCCAGGAGAGGCTGGATATGGTAGAAAGAACGTACATGGCAAAAGTGATTAGATTAGGTTAATCTGCAACCCTGACACTCTGGGACGAAGGTTGCAAACCCCAATACCTCCACAGAGTATTAGGCAGCCAAGTGTAGGGGGTGCTGGAGAGGGTGTGCTCCTGTCGAAAAGCATTCAAAATTTTAAAAGTAACCATACCCAGACATAACGGTAGGCAGGATCATTCAGAGAAGTTTGCAACTTCTGTTTTATGAATTATTCCAAGTAAATAACTGCCTACTCAACTTCTGAACAAAGTGAGACTCAACAGTTGAGGGGAAGGGGGTGCATTTTATGAAAATGTTTTAAGCACAGTTTAATTCCAGTTAATTCTGGAAATTCCCTGCCAGATAAATCCTAGCTGGAGTATGTACGTATGCATGTATGTATACATGGACGTATGTATTTCACTATTATAACCTTTCCATCTTTTCTCATTCTCTCCTGGGGTTGCCCTAGCAGTCAACATCATAGCTAGTTTTCCTGTTGGTACTTCACTATCTAAAGGTGACATCACTTTCCTAATACACACCACATGCACATTAGGAGACTGCTATAATCTCTAAAGGCATTCTGATGCCAGTCATCAGGCCCCACTGTCAGAGAAACACTGGTGCAGAAACTTCAAGTGGAAGAAGTGTCATCCATCAGTTTCATGCATCTCATGTCAGTTTCTGTATCAATGGAAGAAGAATTGTTCATCTCTTTTGTTACCTTTGATGAGTCTCTCCAACAAGTATATTAGAGGTCTGTCCCTCTCCTGAATTCTTGAACCATCCACCATTCTGAATCCATTATAGTTGCTAATTAACTTCTGAGAAGGTATGAACCCGTCGTTTGGCCAAAGAAGCTGGGCAACGTCTATGGGTTCCAGGAGGCTAGAAGGATGAAGAAATTCTTGCTCCTGACATGATTATTTCTCTCCATTACCATCTCTCAGTGGGCCTAGGGAAGTGTGCCCTCAGTGTGGTATCTTGTGATCTCACGGTGCTCAGTATTGCTATTCGATGTGTTTAATAAGCAGATGAAAGCATTGTTAGAGATGCATGGTCATAACAAAAAAGACGTTAAGTTGGTAAAGCAGTGTTTTTGCTCAGAATTCTTATTTCTATTTACAGAGAAAGGAAAACAAAAACCACAAAGTAGGCTGAAAACATTTACACTATTTCTTGTCTATATATGATACAGCTAGGTCACAAAAGAGGGGATAGAAATGGCCAATAAGCATAAAAAACAGTACTCAACTTCAACAACCACCAGGACAATATAAACTAAACCCATAATGTGGTACCACTTCATACCCGTCCATCAGAGTGGCTAAAATGGAAAAGATTGACAATAGCAAGTATTGGTGAGGACGTGGAGCATCTGGAACTGTCATGCACTGCTGATGGCAGTGTAAATTAGCACAACCACTCTGAAAAGCTGTTTGGCAGAATCTACTAATACTGAACACACACATACCCTATGACTCAGAAACTTTATTCTCAGGTGTGTTTCCAGCAGAATGTGTCCATACATTCACGAAAAGGCATAGACAAGAATGTTCAGCAGTACTCTTCCTAACAGCCCCAAACTGGAAACAATTTGAATGCCCACCACCAAGAAAATGGAAAAAATGTGGAATATTCATAAACCAGAATATTGTGTGATTCTACTTATGTAAAATATTAAAATAGGCAAAATTATGCTATGTTAGAAGTTACCTCTGATGGGTAGTGACTGGAAAGGGGACACAGCGGGGGCTTCTGGGGCACTGGTAATGTCTTGTTTGATGTGGTTGGTGGTTACATGGGTATGAACTTTGTGAAAATTCATTAGGCTGTCCTCTTGATTTTTGAATTTTTATGTATATACATTATACTTCAACAAAGGTTACAAAATTAATACAGAGCAGTGTCTCAGCATCTCAGTTGTGGTTCTGTCTTCTTTGATGTTTTTTTCTTATTGTTTTATTGAGTATGGGTGTATGTGTTTGTGTTTCACAGATGTTTGGCAGGGTCACGGGGAGGTGGGTAATGTCATGGGGATAAACTTAATTTTCTCCCTGTCCCACACCAAGTGGGCCCTGCCAGGGTCAACAAATAGCACAATCAGAGTCAGATGCCTACAGATGGCAGTGGTCTTAGAAATCGCTTTACATGGTTCAAGAGAGGAAACTGAGGCCTGGATAAGTAAAGTTAATTAAGCACGTGCAGCTGGTGTGTCGAACAGTAGAGACCAAATCTGGGTTTCATGATCCCAATTTACATCAGTCTTCTACACAGGCGGATGTAGTTGTCAATTACCTCTTTCACATCCATCTTTAACTTGCCTTATTCTTACGTGTTAAGTGATCATTTGCCCCCTGTGCAGAAGTAAATCTCCTCCTTAGGAGAAATAACCCAGCATCGATTAAGATGAGACAATTGATCCGATTTCCTCTCACAGAGAGTGAATCCTGAGAGAGCTAGACATAAGGCAGCTAAGTTTTGCTGGAACCAGAACAGTACAGAGCCATTATTCCCTGCCAGGAACTGCTGTAGCACTTTCCATGGAAGAAGTCACTTAATCCCCACGGCCCTGTAGCCCCTCTTATTATTCCCATTTTACAGATGAAGACGTTAAGACACACAGAAGTTAATAACTTGCCCAAGATCCTATTAGTAAGCACTGGTGTGAGAATGACAATGGGCTGGTCCTAAACACTGTGTTATGTGGAACGGGATAGTTTAAGCCACTATGGTGGGTGCAGTGCCTAACTCCTTAAGATGTTAGGATACCGGAATACACAGGAGAGAGGGAAATACAGGAGAATGCCCCCAGAAAGAGCAGGAGACTCATCACAACCAAACCAACTCAACAAACAGACAAGATATGTTCACATGTGTGGAACCACGCTATAATATATAGGTCATTAGTGAGCCACATGGATCATTGAAATGAATCGAGCTTAGTTGAGGCTTGTTAATTCTTTGCTTCACTCTGTACTTCAAAGATTATACCAAAGAATTCCATAACTCTGGTTGTGATGAAAGATTTTAGCTAAATTTCAAGCCACAATATGGAAAAAAAACAAAGTTAAATAACAAAATTTCAACTAGCAAAGAACATGGGAGTCCTCATTTACCGGCACCTAAGCCACTCCCTCTTGCTTTGTGCCATGATGTACCACATACACTACTAACTACATGCTCAGCTGGGCCTGCTCACATTTTCCTTCTTCAGACCATTCCAGAGCTTGACCGTCGTGTCTCGACACACACAATCTCTTCTGTCAGTTCAAGACACTTTTCAATTGCAACACAGAATGAAGTCAACCCCAAATGTCGTTTACTGCCTCATATATTTGATTGATTTCTGAGAGAAGTATCATTTACACCAATATTCTTGGCCTGGAGCTCAACAGATGAGGATCACACGGAGAGGAAATAACACTCGTCCCAAATGCTTTTAAGTGTTCTGCCTCCCCGGATGCCACACTCAATCCTGCCAGCCCTTGAACACACCACATCGCACTCTAAAAGAATGTCTTATGTGAGCATGACAACATGAACAGATTGGTTAAAAGAAAACAAAGGGCCTCCCTTCTACAGTTAAGGTTGGGCTTAACAGAGCTGCTGAACACAATTTTGCATTGCAATACAGTTTTTCCGTCTCAAAGCAATGTAGAGGCATGCGGCTTGTTATATAATGCCTGGTCTCTCAAGACATTACAAAGCGAATGGCATCCATCAAATTAATTTCCTTGGGGATCATCTCAAACATGGAGAATGAAGAAGCCCAGACCATTAAACATCAAAAGCATGTTCTAAATGGTAATTAAAGTTCTATTATATTTTATTTTTCTGGGAGCAGATTAGATTAATTCAATTGAGAATATTATCAGTATCAAAGCTGACACTGTGAATGTGTCGAGTTGGCTGGAAGAGCGCTTAATATTGCAGACATCTGTTCATTCAAGTTACACAAAACACACGAAAGAGGGAGTCGACTCCACGTGCGGGGTACTTACCAAGCCGGCACACGTAGACACAGCGACGGAGGAGGAGCTGTCATTTCTGATAAATCCCTGATAGAAACATCGCTGCACCTCGGGTTCCCGAGTCTCTGAAGCACCATCTTTTCCAAGTACCTGGACAATAAAGTGACTGCTCAACATCGCCGAGGGCTTAAGTTCTAAATGTAGTTCCTGTCCAAATGCTGAAAATCGGTAATGCAGGGAGCTGCTGGCACTCAGCGCAGACCGCTTTTTCCTGCCGTTGTGCAAAATGTCGTGTGAAATATACGACCCGTCCGAGTCCACTTCTACGGGCGTGACAAAGACGTAATCTGCAATGGGAAACGGTTAGCTGTCAGCACCCAGAGCCCACGATGCCCGAGGGTGACTTTCCAACGGGCTGGCAAAGAGCAATACACAGCCCAGATATCTTTGTTCCTACAGCCATGCACTAGGTGAAATAGAATTCAGAGCAGCTCATGAAGAGAACTCTGTGGTCTTTACAGTTAGCTCTGCCACCGTAACTCCTACAAAAACAAAAAGTCAAGAGCAATCCTGATGAATGTCAAGAATGTTTGTGGAAAACACCACCACTCTCACGATCTGGAGTGAGACAGATGGACTTTTTATATATTAGCCATAGAGCCATCCATACAGAGAAGTGATTTTTTTGGAGACAAAATTAACAAATATAAAACCACAAAAGAAATCAAATTATTTTTCGAGGAGATTTATATCTTTGCGTTTAAACTGCATCGGGAGCATTTTTCTTTTTTTTTCTTTTTGCTGAGTTTAAATTTCAAATGACAACTCACAGTGCTGAGTAACTTGAGATGGTACCTCAGATAATTAACAAGTAACCAGAGTTTCATATTTCTGATATTAATTATATGTGATGATAAAACTCCAGCACTTGCGTCGTTCCTAACGTTTGATTATGAGCTTTCACAGGGACAATTCCATTTAATCGTAAGCATAAAATATAGTGGATGCATAAAAATGCCTCTAAATCATCAGAACTTTCCTATATAGTCTGATGTTTAAAATTGCTCAGACATGTTGGTGGGGGAGTGTCAGCTCAGGGGACACCTGGAAAGGCATGTTTGAAAATACCTTCACCATTGCTCCCTCGAGCAGCACTAATTGCTGCCTGTTCTAGAGAGGAGGAGCGAAAAAACAATTTGCTGCTTGAAAAAAATGAAGCCAGCACACTGGTTTCTATCACCAAACATTGAAACTGAAAAATATCATCCCACAAAATGATGTGGAATATGCCCTCTGCGCATTAAAAAGCACTCTGCATTTCCACTTTCTAGGTACAGAATGGGAAACTAATTTGGAAAGTGTTTAGAAAGATTCCGAATAACTAAGAGGCATGTTTGAGTCACTTCCGTCCCTGGTTGCTGGAGGAGGAAAAGAAAGAGGAATTTCCCTTTTCCCAAAATAGTCAACAACCAAAAAAAAAAAAAAAAAGGCTAAGGAAAGAACAGAAGCCTTGTAGCTACCAAGGACCAATGAGTGATCTAATCAAGCCTATGTTTGCAAAAAGAAAATCCCAATATGACAATAATTTTCAATTGTTTTCTTCTGCGTATGAACCATCTGTGACTCTTGTTTGAGCAACTCTTGTTCTTACACTCTTCTTTCTGTCCTGTCTCTTCCATTTTCTCCTTGACTCCTTTAACTAAATCTAATTGACATGCACATTAAAAAGTAATTGAGAAAAAAAAGATTTTCTCTTCTCTTAACCTTAAACAACTGAGCAGTATATACACTATTTCTCTTCTTTTAAAAATCTCTATTTGTTACTTTATAGGCATGTGGCTCTTGAAACCGCTTCCCTCCACCAAAATAGACCTAACCTGACCCATGCTCCAGTCTCTACAATAAGTGTTTCTTACCTCCTTGTCTCAAAGCATCTGAAATTCTGTCTGCTCTTAGTTGGGAGGTCACGCAGGAGCCTCATCCAGCCAGCCTTCCATGGAATCGGCCCACGAAGCCCCCCACACCCCCCCCCCCCCCCCCCCGACGGAGACACCTGCTACTAGTTTGTTTCCAAGGGGAGAATGAGCCAGCTGATGGTAACATTCAGTCCTTGATGCGAAGACGGGCAGTCAGAGCCCCCTGTAGAGAGTGATCTGGTCAGCTCAGGGGCTGACTAAAGATGAGGTCCTTACGGGTGGTGGCTGGAACAGAGAGGACCTCCAGCAATTGGGCCCTGATGGGACAATGAGGGGTTGTTTCAGAAACTGCAGCCAGCCTCTCTGGTTGAGCAAAAGGTTAATTTCTCAAGAGCTAATTCCTAGCTTTCTCCTGTCCCCTCACTCACCCACTCCGTGGCACAGTCCTTCTCCATGACTCTGCCATCTCCTGCTCCCCACTGTGACCCCTTGACCCCTGACAGAAGGAGGAGATAACGCTGCAAGGCTAAACATTATAGAATCCAGGTTGGACATCAAGGTCTTGCTAGACACCTTGGATCAGGGATCAGCTGTTCTCCTGTAGCTGTTGGGAACAATGGAAACAAGGATTTTCCTTCTGGGCGCCACCGAGAAGTTAATAAATGACAGAAGTGAAGGGTGTTCTGGAGGTTTAGTGGCTGAGGAACCTTAGACCAGAGGAAGGCCTCAGAGACCTCAAGCTACCTACTTTCCTCTCTTTAAAAGCAGTCTTTGGGAATGCATGACACAAGGGCAGAGAAAAGAGGAGGAGAGAGGCAAGGAAGAAAAAGGGCAGAAGTGGAGAAGAGAGCGAGGAGGAAAGACTCGAGGAAAAGGGGCTCAAATTCTTTCCTTGCCCACCAAAAATTAGCTTTCCCAGAAGGGAAGGAAATGAGCAAGGGGCCTTTTGATATCAACCACCTAGTCAATGTCCAACCTCCTTTCTAATTTCTCACCGAAGTTAGGATTTTTTAACAAGCCACTTGTGAACGAGAGAAAGTATTGTTTTCTCATTTCAGTGACTTGCAGCTTGAAGCGCTGATTCTTTTGAGAAGTTCAGAGTCTTTGCCACATCCCCCACCCCCTCTCCAAACAGGAACCATTTCCACGAGGCACACACACCTGCCAGGTTGGAGGCTGCGCTTTTCTAGCTTTTCTCTCTTTTAGGGGAAGGAAGGGACAAAGTGCCTGAAAAGGCCCTTCTGGGGGCGGGGGCAAATACGAACCATCGTTTAATCCGCTGCCGCCGCTGCTGCTCTCACTGGCTAAGGCTGCGGCGACCGACGCACAGCAGAGGCAGCACAGCTGGAGCGCCTGCAAGAGAAAAAGTGACATCGCGCGTGAGGGGCGCGGCGGGCCTGGCGCCTGGCGCCCCCTGCCACCCGCTCTCGCCGCGCCCCTCGGGGGGCACCTGCCTTGGCCACGCGCCCCAGTCCCGCCGGAGCCCACGGCGGGCCGGAGCCGGCTGCGGGGAGGGCGCACGCGAGCAGGAGGGCGCACTCCATGGTCAGGTGCGGGCGCGGCGGCTGCGGGCGGCCGGGCGGAGCGCACGGGCGGCGCGCATTCTCCCCGCCGCCCCGGAGCGCGGCGCTCCAGGTGCGGCGCCAGGTGGGAGCCGCGGCCGCTCACATCGGGCCGGGCGCGCCGGGGCCTCCCCTCCTCCGGCCGCCTGCGCGCCCTCCCTTCTGCCGGCGCCGGCCTGCGGAGCTGCCGCCTGCGGCTCCCCGGGGGGACGGGGCTCCCGGGCCGGGGCTGGCGCGCGCCTCCGAGCGCAAATGGCCGGGGGACTCTGTCCGTGCCTGCCCGCGCGCTTGCCCGCCAGTCTGTGCGTCTGTCTGTGTCTGTGTGAGCGTCTGAGGCTCCCGGGGAAAGCAGCGCCAGCTGGCTCCCCCAGCGCGCTGGAGCCGAGCGCCCGCCTCTCCACCGCACGGTGATTGGCGACCAGCGGCTCCTGGGCCCGTCCGAGCCCCCGGGCTGGTGCAAGGGCGTGGGATTCCCGGCTCCCGCTCCGAGGGAGGGGGTGAAGGGGGAGGGGAGGCTGGGGGAGAGTAGTGGGGAGGGAGGGACCGACTGCAGAGAGAGGGAGGAGAGCGCCCTGGGTCAGGCTTGGAAAACTTAATTGAAGCGCACGGAGGGATGAGTTGGGAAGGAGCGAGGCTCAGGTAAGAGGCGCGTCTTCTTTTGCTGCCTGTGCAGACTTCTCTTTACGAGGTTTCTGGCGAGACAGCCAAGGTATTTAGCGTCCTCGACACCTCCAAAGTGCCAGGTGCCATCTCCTGCTTTATCTCTTTTACCTCAAGTCCTGTCCTCGCAATGTGGGAATTATTAACCCCTTGATAAAGATGAGGAAACTAGGCTCAGCTGGGCTCAAGACAGTGCGGCTACCCAAAGAGTAATCCCGGGAACTCGCAGGTCTCAGGCAGCCTGGAGAACTGGCCCCCTAAGCCTTGTCACTGCCTGCAGCTGTGCCGGCTAGCGGTGGCCTCGCCTCTTCTCCGGGATCTTTCTCTCTTCTCCAAGTGACCATGTTTTCAACTCCTCAAGATGGAATCCTGGCCCGAGACAACCCAACCTACAGAAACCAACCATAACAATTCTGCCCCCATCACCATGAATGTGCATCCCATTTGCTGTGTGCCTGTTCATTTACTCAATACATTGATTTGATCCCTATTGTTTCCAGTGATGAACAAAATATATTCTCACAGGCCAGGGGGAAAGACCCTCATTGGATAACTCAACAATAATACTGGAACCAAAATGATCACAAACGCTGTAAAAGAATAGGTTTCTAAATTAGAAAGAATAAGCAGAATTTAACTTAGTTGGGGGAGTGGGGGTAGGAAGGCGTGTGTAAAGTAAGATGTCTCTTAAAGACTATTTCAAATAAGACCCCAAAGAGTGGGTCAGTTTTATAAGGAAAGAGAGGAGTAAGATCTTGCGTGTCTGGACAGGGAGCACAGCATACGAGAAGCTCTTGAAATAGACAGTGTGCTTGCAGTGATGGAAGAGTTGCAGGCCAGAGGGAGAGGCAGACAGCAGATGGCCAAGTCAACAGGCCCCTGTAGGCTGAAGTGAAGCATGTAAGAATCTGTTAGACTTAAGATGTGAGAGAGAGTGTGAGTGTATGTGTGTAGGGGACAACATTATCTCCAATAAAAACGACACAGAGCTGTGCAGATCTGGATCAGAGGTGCCAAGGCAGGGCCACGGAGGGACAAGTAAGGGAGCTGTTGCTAGAATCATGGTGAGCAATGATGGCGTCTTGGAGCAGGATGGTGGCACTGGAGGTAGATCTATACCCTGCTCCGGTCCTAAGGGGACTGAGCTGGTTAAGATGAGGTCCATGTCAAAGCTTAGAACAAGTGACAGCTCAACATGCATGGTCTGTTCACTGGGTGCAGGAGTGAGGAGGTGAAACCAGGGCTGCAGACGCAGTGAGGGTGGGACAACGTCTGCCTAGGGGAAAAGCTTTGTGTAAAGCCCTCACAGGGAGAAAACCTAGGTTAAACACACCACTTGGGTTTCCCTACCTAGTCTGTTTAAGCTCTCAGGGCCTCCATGTTATAATATGTAAAACAGAAATAAACGCAGCACGTCAAAAGGATATGCCAAGGAAATAAGTGAATATATTTTTCTGAGCACTTTATAAGTGGGCTTTAAAAGTAAGAGCAATGGATACCTCACATTTCTGTTACTTCGCACAGCCCGTGTCAAACCTAACGAGCGTCACAATCACCTGTGCTGCTGGCTTAAATGCAGATTCCTGGGCCATGCGCCGTGGAAATTCTGCTTGGGGAGATTTGGTGGAGGGCCCCAATGTGCATCTGGAGCAAGCACCTGTGGGTGACTCCGACACAGGTGATTTCAGTGCTTCGTGTGATTTCAGTAAAGAACTGGACACTGCGGGAAACTGGGCATCCAGGAGACACAGTCAAAACGGTGCTCGAAGGCATGTCACCAAGCAACAGACTAGATAAAGAAGGAGACTGGGAATGACAGCACTGTGAGCCACAGCAGCAAGCAAACACTGCAGGACACTGGGGGGGTAAGAGGTCTGCCCCCAGGTGGCTGAAAACAACTGTGTCCCTCATCTGCATCTCTCCATTGGATGCATCTGTGCTCAGTCATCCACACCACTCCGGTCTCTCTCTTTTTCGGCTCATAATGTAGGTGACAGGCCTGGCATCTCAGAGCAACGCTTACCTGTGCTCTGTGCTAGACTGTGGTGTTTCTCACCCTCAGCACCAGTGACATGCGGGGCTGGGTCATTCTTTGCAGTGGGGGCTGTCCCCCACAATGTGGCTTCATTGGAGGATGTTTAGCAGCATCTCTGGCCTCTACTGAGTGGATGCCAGTAGCATCCCCACAATTGTGACGAAATGTTGTGATACCAAATGTTCTCAGGGGAGCAAAATCACCCCTGGTGAGAACCTGGATGAATAGTATGGATCCCCATCCTATTCTGTGGCATTTTTCTCCATCAACCTGGAAGCTCATAGCCTCTCATTCAACTGGACAAAGACTTGTTGAGTGCCACCCTTTGAGGGACTGCAGGTCTCCTTCTCAACCTAATGTAAGTGGCCTATCCCCCACTGTTTTTGCAGCTTTTCTCCCATACCCTAGTAAACTTTGACCCTCAGTAGATCCCAGTCTTCCATGGTTTGGTACAGAAACCAAACCATTTCTTCTTTTTTTTTGGTGAGGAAGATTGGCCCTGAGCTAACATCTATTGCCAGTCTTCCTCACATACTTGTAGATCTAGAGAGCAAAACTTCCAAACCCATTCATTTGCAATGTCTGGTTTCTCCTATAGGGCTGATACACAAACACTGTTACAGCCATAACTTCTGGGATAATTTTATATACTCAGTATTCCAGGCCCTAGCCCTGCAATATGTATAAATTGCCTCTAGATGGTGACAGAGAGTTGGGAGCACATGGCCCAGCCTTTCAGTTGTGAATTTGCAAAGTTGCACCAGCTTCTAAATTACATGGAAATATAAATTTTAGCTGATTTTAAAACTATAAATCTAAGACACTATAATGAATATCTAAAGTTCATAGTAATATGTCTCAGTCCATTTGGGCTGCTATAACAGAATAATATAGACTGAGCGGCTTATGAACAACAGAAATTTATTTCTCACAGTTCTGGAGGCTGGGAAGTCCAAGATCAAGACACCAACAGATTTGGTGTCCGGTGAGAACCTGCTTCCTGGATCTTAAAGGGCCTTCTTTTTACTGAGTCCTTATGTGGTGGAAGGGGCAAGAGAGTTCTCTGATGTCTCTTTTATAAAGATGCTGATCCCATGCATGAGGGCTCATCCCTTAGAACCTACTCACCTCCCAAAGGCCCCACCTCCTAAATCCATCACGCTGGGGATTACGTTTCAACATATGAATCTGGGGGAGGGGCACAAGCATTCAGTCCATTGCATGAACCAATAGGGAAAAAGAAAAGGAAAAAAAAGCCCTGTTGTGTTGTCTTCTGTCAAACTTAGCCCAGAGCCTGGCACACAGCAGGGCTTCAGTAAATGGTTGTAAGAAGGAGGAGAGGAAGGAAAGAAGGAAAGAAAGGAATGGAGGGAGGGAGGGAGGAAATGGTGAAAAAATTTGAGATGAAGAGATCACACAGATTCACTCTTAACTACTTAGCTTTTCCCCCTTTTTCCTTCTTTACAATCAATGGTACAGTTCAAGGCAGTGGCTTTTCTTCTTTTTACAGTGACATAAGTTCAACGTTTTTTGCAAAATAATGTGCCTTAAGTCATGTACCTCCTCCTGGCCAGAACAAGACATAGATGGCCATCTCTGCTATTTATTTACTTTTCCCGTAGTCTCTGCTCCATGAAGATGCAAGCGTCTCTCCCATGGAAGGTAAGAGACATTTAGCCCCTCTCCCGCCACAGCTGACTCTCTGTGCTATAACCGACCTTCTTTTTCTCTTCTCCTTTCCATGCAGACAGCAGAGGGACACTGCCCCTCCTCTGGCGTTTTAAACCTGCATTGAATAGTTTGTCAGGTTTTGTTTAGCAGATTCCTGACAGTTTCCTCTAGAAAGTATTTTCATGTCTGAAGCCATGCATCCAAACCTAGAACAGGGTAAAATAGAAACAGAGAGCAAGGCTTAACTTCTTTCAACACAGTAGCCAAGAAGGAAAATAAGGAGACGGAAATGGATTTATGCCTTTGGAGCCCTCAGAGGGAACGGTTGTCTTCTGGCCAATGTCTCAGACACAAGGTACAGTTAGGAACGCAGTGGAGAGCAGGAAAGGAGGAAGTGGACGACCACAGAGCAGCAGGTCCGAACTTTCTCTGTCTTCTTTAGAGAGAACCATCCGGAAAGATAAGGGGTTCCCCACACAAAATAAGGAGTGTCATTCAAACAAGTGACATGCTGCAACAACTTTTGTTTTCATTTGTCAGCGACAATATGGGAAACAGAAACTCAGTTTAACAACCAGCTCTGTAAACAGATTGGCATCAAACACAA